AAATGCAGCTGGTAGTCATGCAAGGGACATGGTCAACAGGACACACAAACAAATGCTACTCCAGGAGCCCCCCCCAATCATGCCAGGAAGTGGTGTGCAGGTCTTATGCACACCTGAACACCTGCACAGAAGAGGCCACAAAAGCCTCTTTCATGCAAACTACCGTACTGTACATGCTGGCAGCAAGCATACATGCAACAGAATGCATTTATTGTCATAACAGAGAACAGTTGCTAGGGCACATGTGTAGGGTTACAATTAGGGTTAGGGTTAGTTTTAGGGTTCTAATATTAAAGAGCACCTGAGATAGTGCATCCACACCTGGAAGCATAGGTCACTTTAAATTAAAGCCGGCATTGTAGGGCGCATGCTCTGGATTGCCAACTCAATTTCTGCTGCATGTGCAGCAGTGCATTTATACAGCCATTTTAAATCTCTTGTGCCCTTTTTCTGACACACCAGTGTCAATGCATACATATGCACATGCGAAGGTGTGCATCTTTCTGGAAGAAGTGGAGAAAAGCTGTTCCTTTTTGGAACAGCTTTTCCTGACATACAGCATCTAGAGGGTTTAGATGTGCGTTGTCTAAACAGCACGCCTCCAAGTCATCCTGAAAGTACCTCTTTTTGCCTGTCTGTACAGCCCCTTAGAAAAGTATCACAGCTGTTCAGCAAACAATTCCAATGCTACTTAGGGCCTCTGCAGATGGGAGGCTCTGGGCTGCCCTGGGAAGCGGCGGATCGGTGCTGTGGCAACCCCATGCTGTGGCCCCAATCCTCCCTTTTGCCACCCCGAAAAGAGCAGCAAAATGCCACTCCTTTTAGGGTGGCAAAAGGCCGTCCTAAGAGCTGGCGCATGGCTCTTCCTCACCCTTTTCAGCGCAGCTTGTCAGAATGCTGGGCCGGAAGGGCGTCAGGATGGCGTCAGCTGGGGTTTGGGCAGCCGGTGTGCGGCTGCACCGCCCCAACTCTACCTTCAGGCCTGCCCTTTGGGCTGGTCTGCAGAGGCCTTTAGATTAAAATGAAGAGCATTTATTTTAGACTATCATTTGTTACATATTTGGGGTGAAATATTTGGGGGTCTGTGTATGAAGAGACCTAGAGTCACTGCTGCTGGCAATTCAAGAGACAGAAGAAACCACACTTTCTTGTCATTGCTGCAGCCTCATCACCTGGTCAATTCAAAAAATACACTGGGGCCATCAACAAGCAGGCACTCAAAGCATGAGATTTATCTTCTTCACATTTAAAGCAAAGCTTTATTAGAGTCAATGCTACATTGATTTTAAGAATCTGAACCTACCAGAGCGCACATGCATATTGTCAGAATGCTGATTTCACTACAGACAAAGGGCCTTTGCAGACTGCTAGAAATAGGGCAAATTGAGTCCACTTTAACTGCCCTGGCTCAGTGCTAGGGAACCATGGGAATTGTATTTTTTTTCTGAGACATTGAGCCTTCTCTATCAGAGAGCTCTGATGCCACAATAAACTACAGTTCCCATGATTCCCTAGCACTGAGTCAGGGCAGTTAAAGTGGACTCAATTTGCACTATTTCTGGTAGTCTGCAAAGGCCCAAAGACTCATTATCTTACTTGGAGGCTACAGATTTTCCCTAGTCTTTTTGCCTCTTGGATACCATACTAAATAAAAGAGTAAAGTTAGCCTCAAAATTAATCCACTGCACTCTACAAATCAATCCAGTTCGGACTGTGTACCACTCATGTATGCAGTCACATAAAGTAATTATTCTCCCAACCAACTTTGGGTCTACCTAAACACCATGACATATTGCACAAACATGCACAAAATAATAAATTCAGGGCCTTTGCAGACTGCCAGGAATAGTGCACATTAAATTGAGGCACTGACCTGGCTCAGTGCTAGGGAATCATGGGAAATGTAATTTATTGTGGCACTAGAACTCTCTGACGGAGAAGGCTCAATGTCTCAGAAAAAAATACAATTCCCATGACTCCCTAAGCACTGAGCCAGGGCAGTGCCTCAATTTAATGTGCACTATTTCTGGCAGTCTGCAAAGGCCCTCACTCTTAATACTGAGTCTCAAGGTACAATCCTGAATTAAAGAAGCTTTAATTTATGTGCTGTAAATTAAATATAAAACAAAACACTAGTGAACTATTCCATTTCAGAGGTGAGTAAACTATGCCATTTTACAGGTGAGAAAGAGAAAACAGAGACAATATGCCAAAGGGCATTTAGAAAGTCCACGGAAGAATTTGAAATTATCTTCTCCATCAGAGCAGCAGCAGCAGCAGCAGCAAAGCCAGGCACGCCCGAAACACTGGGGAGGAGTATAAAGGCTCCAGGGACATCAGCCCAGCA